ATTTTAAAAATGTTATAATTTTAATAAATTCAAAAACTGAATACAACATACCAAATCATTTTACAAATGTAATTTACTCTTCATGTTCATGTTGTGCCTCTGCTTCTCGCCATGTATTTTTTATACTTTCTACAATCCTATGGCAAAGTGATGATTTAAGGAACCATATACATAAACATACTATTGTAAATACCCACGACAGAATTAAAATATAATCAGTTCTTTCTTGTAAAGCTGCAGGAACTGGGCCTGTCATATCAGCGGAAGTAACATTTAATGCACCTTCGGGAGATATTCCTAAACGAATTTGATAAAATTTAATAAAATTATTTTTAAAAAAAAATTAATATTAAATGAAATTTAAATATTACTTACCTGTTAATTCACTTACAAAATTTGAAAATTTTTCTAGACTGGAATGAGACCCATTAAATTTTGCAACTGCTCGTCCATTTTGAAACAGAAGAATCGTTGGAACTGCTATTAAACCATACCTCATATGCAAGCTATAATTAATATTAATTCAAAGAAAAATTATGGACTTTGAAAGTCACATAATATTTATTTATATTTATTTTAAAACAAAAATAAATTAAATAAAAGTTGTAAAGATCAGAAAGAATTCCAAACTAATTTTTAATTAATCAATATATTTACTTTGTATGTTGAACGGCATCAATAGCATAAAAAGAAATTTGCGGAAAAACACGAGCTAGAGCATTAAAATGAGGTGCAGCCCTTGCAGAAAATATACACCAAGGTGAATAAAAAAGAACTACAGCACATTCTCCATCTGTGATATTAGGAAGTGGTGTCAATGCAGTTAATAATGAAGATAAATTCATTATCTTGACTTCTGGTACCTTAAATAAGCAAAAATGAAATAAATTTCTTATAAAATTTTAAAAATTAATAATTAAAAAACTAAAGAAATTTTAAAAGTTGATTTTCTTTTTTTTTAAATCATAAATATTTTTGAATTTTATTTACTTATAAATTCATATAGTTTATTGGTTTTAAGTAACAACAAACCTATAAATTGGTATGCTATATCTTTTATATTTCATGCATAGTTTGACAAGTTTAATTTAAATGATTACATATTATTTTTCACTAGCTTTTGCCCGCGGCTTCGCTCGCGTTAAGAAGTATTATTATTAATTAGGTATAGTTTTTGCGGCTTTACTTTTGTTTAGCGTGTGTAAAAAATTAGGGCCTACAAAACTTCTTTGTACAACTATGTACAAAGGGTACAATATAATCCCCGCAAAAACTATACCTAATTAACCCCCGTCAAATATAATCCGCTAGAAATATTTAGGTATAGTATGTACTATTAGATACGGCGGCCACTCATCATCGGGTATATGTAACTCAGTGAAAACACAACGATAGCGCGTTTTAAAATACTACTAACGCCATCTATTGTCAACATTTAGAACTAAAAATTATTTTGTTCGTCTTAATTTATTCGTTCCATTAGGTACTGATAGGTTCAAACTAATACATTTACATCCTC